CATTTAGGCAGAACATTGACAATTATGTGATGCTGCTGTGCAAAGGCAAGGAGTATGAAGACACTCCTCCCTAACATCACAGATCGTCAATCACATTAACGACTGTATCACCCTCTGATTCTCAGTAGTCTTCTTCACCTGAAATTTCATCAAACTTCTACCTAGTTGTGTGTCTGGTAGCATATTTCTTTTCAATGAACTGTTTAAAAGCTGTGGCAGGTGGAGGCTGAGAACCCTGACCAAGAGGGAAATAATAGCCAAGTCGGTCTTCTCCAAACAATCCTTTTTTGGACACATATTGGTCACCTTTAATGCAGTCCTTTTCAACTCACATTCTTTTCAATTCCCCCAAATCTCTCATGAAAAGAAAAATAAAGTGGGTAAAATGCACAGCAATTGTGCAAAGAAAACTTTTTTTTTTTTTTTTTAAACACAAAAGAAAACATCTCTCAGCCTTGCACATCCTTGAAGTTATAAATATTATTAAATCAACCAAGGTTTCAGAAGTAAGAAAAGGAGCAAACTTCTTTGAGGAATCCAGGGAATTTGGATAATATGCTTAAATATTACTCTTCATTTTTCAACTGATCAGCTTTGGAGTAGTGGAATACAGTCTTTGGAGTTCCATTTCTGTCTAATCAACCTTTTAATTACAGAACTGTAAGCAGTCTCCAAGCAAATATAGAGTTTTAAGTTCTCCACCTTTACAGCCTTACATTAAAATAACACACTCCAAATGTTCGTCTAAATCTTTTAAATACCAAAAATTATGGATCTAGTAGTAGCACTCTTTTTAATCTCCGCTTTTTAATCTCTACTTTTTAATCTGATTAAACAAATTGAAAGGCTGATTCTTCCTACTGTGTTTAATACTAGCACTTCCACTAGCTACTTATTTCACAGCAGGAACTGTCTTTGAGAGCACATGCACATTATTACTCCAGATAGACCAGAAGTCTATACAGCATTTCCTAGACAACATTGCTTGTAGCACTTGCAACATCAAAACAGAAAGAACTGTTCTAAATTTTACAGCTTTATTAACAACAGAAACAATATATTAGAGACTGCGTAGCATTTCCAGCAAAGTGTTTCCTTTCACTCAAAGTCACACTTTCAGATTTAATTTACCAATGGTTGGCTCTACCGCATTCTAGAGACCCTAAGATTTTATTTTCCCAGGTTTGGGGGTTTTATTATCAAGCATATTTTCATAAAAAGAAAGAAATGATTATTAGAAATATTAACAGTAGGAAAAAGTTCATTCGGAGATTCCTTTCCTGCCAAACTTAGTGTACCACTTCCTTATTTCAGATGTTACCATGTCTTCAGTTGGTTCCAAAGCCATTAAAACCCTCGTATAACAGGACTCTATTTTTTAATGTGTTCTGATGGGCTCTTTTTTATGGCGGACCTCTACAAGCAGATAACAAGCCATGAGGCTGTTGTGCACCCTTGGCTCCAGCTATAAACACAATTCACATTCAGACCATTTTCTGAACCAACAGAGACCAACTGAGACCATCAATCAAACAAGAAGGAGCACTGGCATTAGTAGAGCTTTCAACAGACACTTCTCATCTGCTGTTTAAAGCATAATGGGGTAAAAGCACTGTTCACTGTTTGAAGACCAGTTGCACAAGTTCTAGAATAAACTTTTCTTTAAACAGGAATAACAATATGAGGTACAAAAGTTAAGTAACTGGTTATTCCTTCAGAAAAGCATTAAAGGAATATATCTGATCAAAAATTGATGCATTTGCAACTCCAATGCGCAATAGAAAGTTGGGTGTACAAATAGGTGTCTGCTGAAAGACAACAACAAATTACATCAACCAAATTGCATGTTCAACAAATAACTTGTTTGGCATTTGAGGGTCTCTGAGTAGGCTTTTGCAGTACAGAAGGTAGATGGTGATTATACTGACTTCTGTAACACTGTATTGAGTGGTACATTAACTGGTAATTAGAAAACTAATTTTGATTTCACCTCTATTTCCAGACTATTCTTTGGCTTCCAAAAATATATCTTGAAAAGCCCATAAAGCAACACCTCTAGGCTTCAGACACATCAGTCTTTGTCTGTTCACATTACTAAGACGAAAAGATGAGGGGAAAAAAAAAAAACACAACTTCATGTATTTTCTCCCTAAGCACTTACTGTTACTTGTGTACTCCAGAGACTGATGTGACAGATGTAACTACTAGAACAAAACACAGAAGACCGGCTTCTGCCACACATCTTTGCACTTTGCTTAGGCATTTTTTCTCCATTTTTCACTTGTGAAAAAGCAGTTATCACACCTGTTCTCATTTAAGTCAATGCAGCTAATTATACAATAAAGATACAATTGTTTATAAAGTTGAGAGCCACAGTACTTTATCAACTATCGATTTCCTTTTCCTTAAAAAGCCAACTTAATTCCAGCTTCCTCCACGTTACCTGTAAATCTACGCAATACGTTGCATGACCTTAGAATCCTAGACCTTCTTTAACACTGAGTTTGCAGTTTAAGCCCAAGTCCTGCATCACACATTGCATGGGTAGACTGCTCGGCCCTAGAGCAGCTCTGCTGATTTCAGAAACTAGAGGTGAGAACTAGAGATGGGAAAATCCCAGGGGTAGGAAGTATGACTGGAACATCTACAACTCTGCTAAACAACAAAAAATAACAGTTCATCACAGTAAGAACTATATTTCACATTTGAAATCGTTACTCATCTAATTACAATCTCATGAAGACCAGAAACAACAAAAAAATCATTACCCTAAACTGTTCATTGATTATTGTAGGTCTCACGTACACAACTAGGTGAAAAGCAAACTCAAAAGCTGGCACTTATCCATTCACTTATGGCTTCAAACAAATTGCTGACTTGCACAACTGCTTCACAGAACACCTGGATGGGAGAGTCAGGACATCCTGTCACATCGCTGCTTCATTGCAAAAATCAGATGTAAAATACATTTACATTGTCATACTGGTACAATAAAGCGACACAGAGAGGCAAAAGATATTAGGCGGCTCTAAAACCCTCTAAAATGTGAGAACAGACTTCAGCTTGTTTGATCCCTTTCAGAGTTTACATGGTACAATAATTTAATGACCCATAATCAAGAGCTTCTAAAAGGAAAAGCAAAAGAAAGCAGTTGATGAACACAAATACATTTTAAGGAAATAGCCTAAGCCAAGAGTAACTAATTGTCAGACTGCACAAAAACTGCCTATTTCCCTCCTTTTGCCTGTTTGCCAGTTAATGCATCCTTTCCCCATTTCATGTTGATGCATGATCATATATAAATAGACATGCCTTTGATGCAACTTGATTTCAAAGAATATCAATTAAGCAGAATATTGGCTTTTCTCTACAGGTAGTTACAGGTTTTATTTCAAACCACAAGTGATACAAGGTTTTCTCATTATTTTGTTTTCTTATATGAAGAACAAATTCAAAAATTCCTTATAGCCTTCAATCATAATCCAATTCCACAAACCTAACTTAAGCAAGACCTATTAAACTCCTATAAAATTTAAAGGGAGGCCATGTCTCAGACACAACCCTATCTTTTTCAAACACAGTTCAGTGCTCATTGCTTTGGTACATTTATTTTCTCTCATTGAAATACATGGGAGGAATGAAGTACCCACGCACGAGTCACTTTCCTGTGACTCCCAAGATTTTTTCCTTCCTTCTTTCTGTCTTTTTTCTTAGAGTACAAGAATTAGACCTCAAAAATTCACAACAGAGACAATGTTACCCAACAACCTTATCATTTTTTTTTTTTTTGCAGGAATCTGGTCATGATTTTGATCACATAGAAAACCCCAAAGTAGGCATCACATGGGATTTCCTCAGATTTCCCAATCCGAAGGCAAATAAACCTTTCATAAATAATTAATATTGACCATGTTAAATAAATTAACCACGTGGTAAATCTACATATAAAACACATGAAATTTTTCCTACATATAGCAATTATCACTGTCAAGGAAATAACTGCCAGTTATCATCGTTATCATCATCACCACAGAAGGTGCCAACAAACAACTGGAACCAGACTCTTTTCTCTGTAAGGTGTTAAGAGCCACAGGAACCTGAAAAGATACTTGTTTCTGCACTATGCATTTGATTTTACGTGGGAACAGCCTAAAACAAATTAAGGGAACAGATCTGAAATACTTTAATGAGCCATATTACAAGTGCTGAACACATTAAAGTAAGTTTGAATACTAGTTATACACTTTTCTTGATATTTGTATCATCATATCTTCATATTCTTAAAGAGATTGCCTACATTTGACTCTTACACAACAGGCTGTCCAACCAACATGATGTCAACACATTATTTTTTTTTTCCAAGACCAGCTCAACAACTATGTGACAAGGTCAAATAGCCTTCTTCCTGTTTTAAATAAGATGAGAATTTTGTCAATTGCACTTTCAAAGTGCAAAAGCATTTCAACATTGATCTGCACTCCACCAAAAGCTAAAGCGTGACAGATGCCTTCACAGTAATTGCCAATCAGCCTCAACATAGCAGCTGAAAAACACAATACATCACTTTGATCTCCTCAGCTATCAAAGTATTCACAATCAACAAATCTGCATGAAGAATATGAAATGTGCAACATTCCCAAAACCTGTCTCCATGGATCTTAAATATGATAATGTATATTTTGTTCATACTTCATAAAGCATTTCAAATCCTTTATTATGCATATGAAAGGATACGTTTTAGCTCGCAAGAAAAATAAACACGGAAGATGTTTTGTATTTTAGAGACATGTGAGTTTCCATCGGATAACATAGGTGAAATAATCGTTTAGAAAAGCCTGAATTGCTTTGAGGGAAAGACATTATTACAGAACATGCTTAATTAAGTCCCTCTGCTAACCTTGTAAAATGAATACCTTGTTGAATTAGACTACAGGGAAATAAAGCATGCATACCAGCTCCACGTGCGTAAAACAAAACGCAGCTAAGAGGAGATGACTTACATTTTGCTGGTAGGTCATATCCACACGTAATTTTTGCTTGTCCAGTCTCACAGCCACTCAGGTTGCGGCATTCAGCAAGTAAGCAGGGCCCAGCAGCTCTGTGTATACAGCCGTCCACTGCAAAAGCAAACCCAGAACAATTTATTTATTAAAAAAACATTTTTTGTGCATTCAAACTGCGTGTGACTGGCATTCAAATAAATGCATGGCCACCACCATTTACTGTTCATTTTTACAGGTACAGATCTACAATCAGACATCCAAGTACAAACAAACATTTTTTCTGCCAGAAACAGTCATTGGAAATTAAAATTTCCATAGTAGAAAGTGCTTTTATTCAAGGCTCAAATAAATTCCCTCTTTCTATTATGACAATAACGTTGATTCCCAGATAAATACCAAACTCTTTTTCTCTACATAGCTCTGATTCTTCTAGAACTATGCAGGCCAGTTAATGTCAATGTCCTGTCAAGGCCTTAAACAAAAACTCCATGAAATAACGCTTATGGGTTCACGAACTCAAAATTTACAAAAGTACTTTCTTTTGACCTTTATTCTTTCCTTTTTCTTTTTTGTTTTGCATGATCCGTGCAATATTCTGGAGTTAATTAAATAATAATTACTAAAGGTTGCAATTGCAGCTAAGTATGCAAGAAAATTAGTTGAGTGCATAGATCTTTTTACCCTTGGGAAGCAGCAAAAGAATAGTAGCAGTAGCAAAGGCAAAAAAAAAAAAAAGGCTGCTGGCACAGCATTTCTGCCCACTCAACATGCAATCAAAGAAATCATTTACTGTAATTATGGAAAAAAAGTTAAAGAAAAAGGAAACAAACAAAAAAAAGGAAATGCTGTGTGCACTGACACAGTAGCTACATGAAGGCCCTAAGTCAGCAGCAGCCATGAAGATCCACTACAAGAAATAAGCGTTGCATGAATTACAATTCAATTCAGAAAAGTTACAAAGCTGAAGAATAAAGGCTGAACAAATTCCTGCTTATACAAGAAAGATAGATTCTATTTTTGTGTTGTTCAATATTTTATTTCATATTTAACCAGTTCGAAGCTACACCAATTCCCAACAGCACTTTTGAAACAATTAAAGCAAGAAAGGGTCTGAAAAGCCAAGTTCAGATGGGATTTCAGGAAACGCACCGACTCTCAGGACTGCCTGCGTGCCATTCCCCGTGGAGGCACAAAGACTGGCAGCACAGCACAAGGCTTGGCCATCTGACCGCTCACTGCCAGCCAGGCTGCAGGGAACTTCAGGAGCTCCCTCACCCGTGCCACCTAAGCCATGATGCCAAGTCTTATTATTCTACCTCAGCTGAGTTTTCCTTCTTCGTGTACCCAACAGCTCAGCTCAACAGACTGCGAGATGCTAATGCAAGAATTACATTTTGTAACCTCCAGGGAAAAAAATAAAGAATGCTGGAAATCTCTCCCATGCTCATAACATCATATTTAATTATTTTAGCTTAATTACGAAATGCTTTTCCAAACCAAACAGGATAAGTAAACCAGAATGCGTTGAAACCTCAACTGTATTTTTATAAGCAGTGCCACCACAATCCTTACCAACATTAATATTTCCTGAGACATTAACATAAAAACAGCGTTAATGCTTAGCACTGCACTTAAGCTGCAGTCCTCAATGAAGGACTTCTTTCACCTCAGAAGCACCGGACAAGAACTCAGATGCACACAGTCCACAACCCTCAGCAGTGGATGAAGCATTTCCAACCCTGAGCTATTTCTTTTCCTGAGCTGCTGGGCAACCTCACCTGCCCTTGTCTATACAGTTACTCGTTCAGACACCCTCTCAACCAAATCATCTCGATAAACCAACTTCTTTCACCCCAAAGCACATTCGGTTTAAACCAGGTCCAGCTCAGAGCACAGCCAAGCAAAAGAACATGCAGAAAGGAGTCGCCGCCTCCCATGGAGAAGCAGAAGCATAGATTTACCTCGTCCAAACCCACAGTACATTAGCAAACCCAGTAGGTTAATAAACCACGTGCCAGATCAGCTGTGATGGCCAACAGAGAGTCAACTCCAGCTCCCCATCTATAAACAACCTCAGGAGGGAAGAAGCAGGCTCTCAGCGAGCACACAGCTGAGGTACAGATGGCCCATCGCTGCTTGGCTCTCCACAGCTCCACACGCAGCCTTTCTGATTGAAGCAACCTCCAGCAGGATGAAAAGGTAATTGAAAAAAAATTGAATTCTTAACTGAGGCAAATCAATTCTATCATAGCCAATTCTGACATATGACAAGGAAAATGGAAGACATCTGCCAAAAACAAACAAATAGAAGTTCATGCTTCTCTCATAAAGATGGCTTAACAGAAAATGATTGAATACTGTGGACAGGCGTAGATGGAAACTCAGACATTAGCATTTGATATACTTCAGTGACTCCACAGAAGAATGACTTCTTTTAAAGATATATAAATAGAATTACCATTGTCTAAATAAAATATTTCTTCTATCATGACTTATTAAATACTTTCGCAGAGATGACCTTCGATCTACATATGCATATAGTATGATGAGAACTCAATAAATCATGCTAGAAACATTCTGTATGTCCAACAGTATATCCAGTATGTAACACAACTTTGATAATTCTTCTAGCAACAACCCAAGCAGTGAAACATCTTACCAAATTTGAACACTCTGCATAACATAAAGAAAAACAATTGGCAAAGATAGAGTAGATGAGCAAATCTAAGTGCAGTGCTTCAGCCTGTGCTAAAACATGCCTTAGCTGTATTAATTCAAAAAGACACAGGGGGAAGGCACAAAACATTCACGTGAGATACTTCGGTTTCGGGGGAAAACAATGGCCAAAGATATAATGTTACCGTGTAATAAGGAGGAAGAGATTTACGTGATAATGGTGGCATGCTGCCCAATTACTTTTGTAAGAAAGAGAACAACGTTTGACATATTGGTTTCAAATACTTCATCTGTACCATCAGTTTGATGTATATGTGCTCCTCTGCGTTTTTCAAAACAGATTTGGGAAACATTAAACCACAACCCACTGTTCCTTTCCTGGAATTACTGTGCACAACTAGCAATAAAAACCCAGGCACTTCATTTATGCTCAAATCTGACTTGCATCTTGTGACAGAGGTAAGAAATTATGCAATATCACCATTTTCTACAACCAAAGAGAAATGCCCTTTAACTCAGAAGCTATCACTCTGTTCAGTTAGGCTATTTTCTACAGCTTGCATTCCCGTCCAGACGTATGGAAATCACATATATACACACACATCGGGTCATTTACATTCACAAGCGAGCTGTCATTTCACAACTACAAGGAAAGGCGTGGGAAAACCCCACAAACAAAACTATCAGTTCTAACTGACAAGAAGCCCCACCTCTGGCCTGCATGCCAAACCTTTGGTATTTTTAAGTCCTGGCAAGAACTGAGAGCACCATTTCACCCTGCCTTGGCTGGAGAAGCACATGGAAAGGTTCTTTCCCAGATCTTGACACATTTATAGGAATGATATTTTGAGGGATGAAGAACAGCTCAAGGGGCTTGAGATTTAACTGTATACTTCAAGCAGTTCATGCTTGCATAAAGCTATTACAAACCCATTGCAACTTTTTTCATTAAAAATAGTATTAGCAATCACATTGCACGCATCCATAAGTTTTAGGAGCCACTGGGGACAGCACTTTGTTCTCCCAACAATTGAGCAGAAGCCCTTAATGAAGAAAAACTCCTTCCAAAATGCTGCAATCAATGGCACTGGATGCACAAAGAAGTCACCTCAAAATAACCGCTTAAGATACATGGAAATAATCAAGTTTCAAAATAAAACTCCCCGGCAAAATGAGCATACTATAAAACCAGTGAGTTCTTAAAAACACTGGAATCCTTGACGTCTTTCTACATCACTAAAAGATGCTAAAAGTTATGTTTTTTCTTATTTAATTTCTTGTAAAGCAAGTGTGTTTGTTCTCCAGAATTAAAGGGTTAAAGTTACATAGTAAAAAGTAGCTAATTTACAACATAGAATAAATCTATTTCGTATAGAAAATCTCTTAAAATTGCAAATGAAGCAAAAGCAAAGGAAACAGAGAATTAAGGGTATCGTGGGATGCTGCTTTAAAAAAAAAAAAAAAAAAAAAAAAAAAGATCTCAGCAAAACCAATCTTGCGGTGCAGATGGTAATAAAATAGGGTAAGGTAATCAAACACCACAGCAAATAATCCAAAATTCCCCTGGTAATAATAAGCCCTAACTTCTTTTGTGACCTTGCATCTGAGTCTGGATAAATTGAAGCTGTGGTGTAAACAACATATGCAGACTTGTTTTTTGAGAAACTCTGAAAACTCATGAAAACATGCTCTTTTTTCATAGTAATTCCTGTTCTCAAGACCTTCAAGACCTTTATTCCTGGTTTTCCACCAGAAAATTCAGGAGATTTACTTATTTCGCAAGTTAACCGTGCACAATTGATGGATGACGCCTTGCCATTCTTGCACATGGCAGATGCCAGGAGTGAGAAAGGAAAACAAAAACCAAACGAAAATATCATTTTAGCAGATATATTGCTAGGGACACGCAAGAAGAACCCGGTGCGCCCTGCCTGCAGCAGGCCTCTGCTACACGCACCCCAACTACCTGTGGGCCTTTCAAAACAGCTCACTACAAAAGCACACATGGCAACAACAGCAACCCTGCAGAAGTGCTCAAGCGCCTCTAGAAAGTTCACTGGACTCAAGTTCTGGGAAAGGCACAACTGCACCTCACTGACTGCTGTCAGGGGGAAACAAATCCGCCCAGCGAGACACAGCAGCTGCTGGTGTAATGAACGAAGGTGGGATCTCACAAAGATTACAACACAGATGCCAGTCGGCCGCCGCCGCTAGAAGCGGCAGTTTGTATTACAGAGATGGCCTGTGCCGCTGGGGAGTTTAATGAGCTGAAGATTTTTAATCAATGCGCTGGTTTATAGGCCTCCAACATAATTAATTTTAAATACTTAGCATTTAGACAGTACTTTCTAGCCAGGGTCCAAAAGAATTAAAAGCAAGATCTGACTTTGCCTTAAAATTCTCCATTCGAAAAACAAAAACCACAGATGAACCATGTA